GCCCGGCATCCTAAAAGTTTAAGGAAAGGCCAAAGCAGATTTTCCCAAACAAGACATCCCTCCAGATGTGTTGGAAGTGCCCAACTGCCCAACTCTTGGCTGGGCAAGCTGGACCAAACCATGTTGCGCTTAAAGGAGGCCTGCCAAGCGACGGAGTAAAACGTCCGTAGCAAAGTCCGAGGAGCAACTTAACGGAACCCCTTCCCTTTCAGGTGATTCGGTATGCAGAGAAGAGAGAGCGGAGTTTTAACATGGAGGCCAACACTCCGATGGTCTTTACGGTCTTTATCCACTTCTGAAATTTCTCCCCAAGGAGTAAAATAAAAGAGGAAACTATTTTGCAACGGCAGCTTTTCACCGCCTGGCAGGCTTGGGCATAATATAAACTTTGACCGGTTTGCCGAACAAGAGAGTCCCTTCGATGCTGCCCTCGGATGGGGGTGGAAGATCCATGCTGTCTCCCCAGGTGGACCGCGAGAGGCCCACGGAGGCTTTGGTCCTGTCTGAACTGTAGGCCAGGAGAAGACAGAGTTCAATTTGACAAGGTTCTGGAGGAAAGGAAGAACAAAAAATAAAGGGAAGGGGGAGGAAAGAGGGAAAGAAATGTCAAATTTGCCAGGTGTCAGGATTCCAGCAATCGCCCTAATGAAATCAACGATTCTCGAGCCAAACTTCAAAAACCTTCAAAGGATTCATTAGAGGTAAAGCCAACTCTGGCCTATGTCATTTACAGTCCCCTGTGACCCTGTTTCCCCCCTCCCTCCCCCCTGACTGTCTCATCAACCAGATTCTCCAATTGAGCACAGTTCACGGGCTGGGTGTCATCAATCACATTCTCCAATTACGGGCTGGGTGTCATCAATTACATTCTCCAATTATGGGCTGGGTGTCATCAATTACATTCTCCAATTATGGGCTGGGTGTCATCAATCACATTCTTAAATTATGGGCTGGGTGTCATCAATCACATTCTCCAATTACGGGCTGGGTGTCATCAATCACATTCTCCAATTACAGGCTGGGTGTCACCAATCACATTCTCCAATTACGGGCTGGGTGTCACCAATCACATTCTCCAATTACAGGCTGGGTGTCACCAATCACATTCTCCAATTACAGGCTGGGTGTCACCAATCACATTCTCCAATTACGGGCTGGGTGTCATCAATCACGTTCTCCAATTAAAAATATTTGTGGGCAAAAGCTCTGGTATTTTAGTTACAATCTTTTCAAGATAAGAGTTGGAATGTATTTCCACTTTCAAACAGCTGCACTGCTTTTCCAGATTTCCTTCCTCTCCCCTCCTTTTTTTTATGGCAACTACTAAAACAGGCATGGGAATGTTTTATGAGTTGGCACCAGGTTTCAAAAAGCAACTAACATACGGGTAAGTCCTCGACTTAACCTCATCTGAAGTTACGATGACACTGACAAAAATTACAAGATCTTTTTTTTTTCTTTTCCACACATCGCAGTATCCCCGTGGTCACGGGATCAAAATTCAGAGGCTTGGCAACTGGCATGTACTTCGAAACAGTTGCAGCATCCCAGGGTCAGCAAAGTCTACAGGGAAGCCAGAATCTGCTTAACAACTGTGTTATTCACTTAGCAGCTCCTGTGATTCATTTAACAATCTGTGTCAAGAAAGGATGCAAAATGCAGGTTGGGGGGTGGGAATTCCCTTAACAAATTTCTCCCTTAACAACATAAATTTTCTGGCTCAGTTGAGGTCGTAAGCTGAGGACATACATAAACAAACTCTGAGAAATGACCCAGATGAAATGTACGTTCCACAGAAATTTTCCCAGTAGGTCAAAAGAAACACTTAAAGCCAAGTCTCCCTTACCTGTCCAGGCGGTGTGTGAGAGATAAACCTGAGTAATTAATCGGTGCCTTCCTGGACCAGGGTTTCTAAAATCTGCCGGTTTCGGGTGAATCACTTGGGACTGGCCATCAGGATACATGATCTAGAAGAAGAAAAAAGAGACCTGAAGTGATCCTCAACCCTTAAATCACCAGTGAAGTAAAACATTTAATTTTGCAGCTATTAAGATTGTTGGCTGAGCAGGACAAAAAATAGCCAGGGAGATAATTGAGGCCTGGGAAATGGGTTGTAGCCATATTTTACTTTGAAGCTTCGAAGTTGCCATAATTTTAGTGCCTCAGAATTTGGGAGGGGGGAATTGCGTAGTGTGGTAGAAGATCAGACACAACATTCTTCTCAAAAAGTCAAGGACAAGTTACCCCGCACCTGGAGAGCTGTGTCTGGAAAAATGTCTCCAGTTGGGACGATGGTTGATTGGGCCGTGTGATGGACTGGTGGGTGCAGAGGGTGGGTTTATGACTTTCAATTGGGAAGGGGAAACCTGGAACTCTTCAGAGTCAAGTTTTCCCAGCGGTGCCAGGATGATTTCTTCAATAAATTCTTATTTGGATGAACTTTTATTTCTGAGTGCTGAATGAAACGGGGAGCATTCATGTCAGAGCATTTGCACCGTGACTATTATTACGAGACAACCCAGCAGCAAAACATCCAGCACACAGAGACTTAAGAAACTTAACGGTGGTTCATATACAAGACATGTACAGAAATATACGTGGTAGGCAAAACACCTGACAAGCAATCAATCTTCTTAACTCTACACGGAGAACTCTGCAATGAATACCGTACACAAGGAGAGAGAACGCAACCTCTAATGGCTGCCTTTATATAAACACCTCTTAAAGGGATAGAACCAATCCCCAGTCTTAAAGGGAAATACCCAGGCTATGCTGACTCATTGCATCAGCCACATCTGACTTAGTAGCCGGCCCTCAATACCCCAATTAAACAACTTAAAAGCAACACACAACCAGGCACCATATAAATACAACACAGAGTAGTCCCAAAGCACACATTCTGGTGAGGGAGAAGTTTCCCGAGGATGCGCTCCAGCACGAGACTAAACCTCTGGTCCCCATGACCAACCCAGATTGGAACTTGCAATGAAGCAATCCCTGCTTGTCCCACATCGTTCCACCATTTTTTCCCCCCGACTCAGTCATCCTATTGTGACATCCCCTTTATACAGAATTATCTCTTGAAAAAAAATAATAATAATAAAGCCCAGGAAATCTCATGAAAATAGTCTTTGTTGGCTGGGGAATTCTGGGAGTTGAAGTCCACACATCTTCGAGGGCCTGAGGTTGAAAAAGATTGGTGCGCACCCAATGGCAGTTGGCCAACCGAGAACTGGAGACAAAATGGTGGGACGTCGAATCCTTGCTCTTAACCCGCGCGGTGGCCTTCGTGGCTCAATTCTCATGTCGTGAGAGTTGTTGGAGCCTGAATCGGCGAGGGAAGATGAGCTGGAATTGGAGCCGACAGAGATGGAGGGGGCAGCTTCATCGGCTTCGGAGGAAAATGGGGAGGAGCAGGACTAGCCAGGCCAGGGCTTTTCAGGATTAGGACAGTTTTTAGGCAGGGCGGAAGGGGGGGACGCAGGATAACCAGGAGAGTGAACACGAGAGACAGTTCTCAGGCAATGAGCAAGGACCACTTCCTCCTGATCCGAGAGCACAGAGAGTGGAGAGAAGGCAAGAACAGTGCAGACTGGCCCATCTATTCAGGAGGAGAGCACCCTGCCCCACTCCACGAAGCACGCCTGGCGATCGAGACTTAAAGAGACGCTGTGGGGAAGGGCGTTTGTCCGGGAATTCATGGAGGGTTGAGTGCTGATATTTAAACTTTCCTGAATTCCTAGCATTCTTTCTGGATTTCTGGATGACTTGCCTGCCTCCTTCGCTTCCTGGGCTCCTCGATGTGCCCTGGTGGAGTTCTTGCTTCACAGCCGTGGTGCTCATAGCATTGGGCTGGACTACTCGCAGCCAGAGGCTGCTTGACAGGTGTGTGTGTGTGTGTGTGTGTGTGTGATCACTTTGCTCTGGGACTTGCCAGAAACGTGGGAACGTTTTGGGGAAATTCAGAGAACTGACCCACCCACCCACCTCTGCCGTTACCTCTCCTATATTCCCTTGATTGCCGCACCTCAGCTGAGCTAAAAAAAGCTGCTCTGCTTACCGGCGTTGACAGAGGTCAGTCTCGGAGACCTCCGTGTGCGTGCAAAGCACGTGTTCGGCATGCACACGCGGGAAGGTCAGCTCACCAGCGTTGACAGAGGTTGGTCTCTGAGCCCTCCGCGCACGTGAGAAGCGCAAGCGCATAGAACCACACATACAACCGGCAGGATACAATTTGGAAACCAACCACCGATCGCATCACGTTACCTGAACTTTCACCGTGCTTTGGGGATCTTGCACATGTTCCAGAGTGGCGTCCACATCTAGAGCAACAACTAAACCGGACGTGAAGCGCAGGGGATTGTCCGACTCTCCTGTGGGTTCGATAATGGTGGCAGTTGCTCGGTGGATCTGGGGGAAGAAATGGGGTAAATCAACCTACGCTTTGTTCAGAGTATATTCATGAACTGGAACAGAGCTTCGTAACAAGGTCAGCCAACGAATAGGCATAGCAACTAAGTCAGCCAGTGAGGACTGTTTGGAAACTGAAACTAGAAGTAGCCTAGGCGTGGGTCTATGTTAAGCTCTGCAGCTCTGAAGCTATGTGGAGCTCTGAGTCTGTCTGTTGAGAACGACATTTTTCTCTCCTCTGCTGTGTGTCTTGCTTGCCTGCTGAACTAAAGTGAAACTGAGGCCTGTTTCTGAGCTCCTGAGTTGCTCTTCTGCTCTGAGCCTGTAACATGTCTGCTTCTGTTTGAGGTTTCTGTTTCTCCATGTTGGAGAAATCTACAACTGGTATTGTAAAATTGACTTTATGTGTTTATAAAGAAGTGAAATGAAGCCTCAGCCATCTGTGCTTACTTTTCTGGCGCTGAATTTCGGCGGCTCTGACAACCTCTTGCCCCCCAACAATCTGGGTCCTCATTTTAACGACCTCGGAAGGATGGAAGGATGAGTCAACCTTGAGTTGATCAGGATCGAACTGCTGGCAGAGTTAGCCTTCAAGGCTGATTCTAACCATTGTACCACCATGCCACCAGAAGTTGGACAAAGAGGAAGAGGAAGTGGAAGAGGACAAGAAAGGGAAGGAAGAAATGGAGGGGAGAAGGAGGAAGGGGGAAAGAAGAGGGTGAAAAAGGGGAAAGAAAACAGAAGGAAGGAAGGAAGTGGAGGACGAAGGGGAAGAGAGAGAGGAAGAAGAAGAAGTGGAAGAGGAAGGAGAAAGAGAAAGGGAAAGGAAGGGAAGTGGGGAGGGAGAAGGGGAAAGGGAAGAAATAGCAGTAGACTTCTACACCGCTTCACAGTGCAACTCGTTCCAGCCCTCTCTAAGCGGTGTACAGAATCAACCTATTGCCCTCAACAATCTGGGTCCTTGTTTTACTGATCTCGGAAGGACGGAAGGCTGAGTCAACCTTGAGCCTGGTGAGATTCGAACTGCCGAATTGCAGGCAGCTGGCAGTCAGCAGAAGCAACCTGCAGTACTGCAACGCTAATCACTGCGCCCCCATAGATAACCAGTATCACCCCTGCAATGAACACCGGGAGACGTTAGAGGACAAGGGTGCCTGGCGTAATACTATAGTGCGTGGGGGTTACAAAGGGTCAGACACACTTAGAAACTGGACCACAGAAGAAAAACCGAGTAGAAAGGGACCTTGGAGGTCTCCTAGCCCAACCCCCTGATCGAGCAGGAGACCCCATACCATTTCAGACCAAGGGCTGTCCAATCCCTGACCTCTGTTTTGTGGAATATTCTCTCTTCAGAAGTTAGAACAGCCCCAACCCTGGTCGCCTTTCGTAAAACTTAAAAACCTGCGTGTTCCTGTGCCTGGGATGCTGAATGCATCAAGGGCCCTGTTTCCTAGCTATATTGTTAACAGGTCTCACTTATTATGGGCTTGTCGTGCAAGGGGATTCATGGGAGAAAGCAATTCTGTTGGGAAGAGTTAGCGGAAAAAGGGAACCGGGACTCCCAAAAACACGATGGCAAGACAGCCTCACAGCTGACCCCAAGCGGACCGTAGAACAACTCTAGGCTTTTAATGGCTTCTGTTTTTTCGTTTTTGTTTTATTGTTCTAAAATGTCTTTTTAACAATTTAATTGTAGTATGTGTTCTGAATGGAAAGCCATCCAGAGTCATTTACTAAGATGGGCAGCTATAGAAATTGAATGAAGAATGAATATATTGATCAATGAATGAAAGTATTGATGATACGAATGAATGAATTTGTGAATGAATGAGTGAATGAATTTATGAAATGAATTTTATGAATGAATTTTATGAATGAATGTATTTGATTTTATGAATGAATTTATGATTTTATGAATGAATGAATTTATGAATTTATGAATGAATTTATGAATGAATGAATTTATGAATGAATGAATGAATTTATGAATGAATGAATTTGTGAATGAATGAATAAATTTGTGAATGAATGGGAGAATGAATTTATTAAATGAATGAATTTATGAATGAATGAATGGAATGCTCACCTTCTCCGGCAATGGAAGGCGAAGGAAATTACTCTGTCTCAAGGTCACCCGAAGGATCTTGACTACCTCTGAAGGCTTGGAGGTGACCAGCCTGGGCATCAGGTCAAGAAGCTTATCCACGAAGCTGCCTTGCATGTGAGGCAGCTCAGAAATAAAACACCTGGTGAAAGGATGAGAGAAGAGAGAAGCTGAGGCCTGACAACACAGAGGCACAGAAAAACGTGCATTAGCAACGGCTATTTTTTATTATCATTAAAACAACCTGGAAATATAAAGTCAAGAATAGAAAGCGATTCTGCTAAAAATAATGAATGAATGAAAGAATACATGTATGACTAAAAGGAACATGAGAAGAAAAACGAGACTAAAATCACATGATTGATAACTACTGTTTCCCCTAAAATAGGATCTACCCTGAAAGTAAGTCCTAGTTTGATTTTTACACGTGCCCAATGTAAGCCCTATCCACAAAGTAAGCCCTAATTAAGATCCCGCCCACACCAAAGTGCACGAGTAAAATGGCGATGGGGGGGTGGAGCTGCCCTACTACTTACCTTTGGACAGCTGTAGCCAGGCCTCGCACACCCCGACACCTGCCTGGCCGGCCCATTTCTTCTGCAGCCAGCAAGACTTTCCTGAAAGCATCTGTAGCTGATAACAAAGCTCTGGATCGATCCAGAGCTCTATTATCCATCACAGAGGCCTTCAGGAAAGCCTTGTTGGCCACAGAAGAAGTTCCTGAAGGCCCCTGACAGTGAAAAGGAGGCTGAGGGTGACACGCGCAAGTGAGATTAGTCAGTGAATGATATCCCCCGAAAATAAGACCTGGTGCCTCTTTTGTTGGCAACAAAAATATAAGACAGGGTCTTATTTTCAGGGAAACATGGTATAACTAATAACTAATTATTACCTTTCTGAGAGTAGGGTTACGTCTATGTGTGTGTGTCTGTGTATGTGTGTTACAAATGCTTGTGGATGCAAAAGAGAAGGAAAATTGAGGCAAGGGCAACCTTGTGACAAAGAGGTATGCACCTGTTTGCACCTGAGGAATATGTAACCAGCCAGTACACACCTTTGAAAACAGTCCACTTCCTGCAAAAATTTCTCACATATCCCGAGCGGTTCCACCCTGTAACAAAGATACAAAGTCCATTCTAAACCTCTTGATTTTTGCTAGTTGCAAGTCACTGCCAGACCAAGAAATCAGACACGATTATTCTACAGAACAGCTGGCGTGGGAATGCGAGCGATACAAAACAAATTTCCATGCCAAGTCTTATTTAACCATCGATTCAGTGCAAGGCCTTTGGGAAACCACTTTGGAACCTACATAAAATTTGAAATTGAGGAGAGGGGAATTTGCTTTGGACAAATGCCATCCACAGCATTACTGTAAGAAATGACCAGGCTAAGGGAGGAGTCAAACAGGTCATAAGTTACGAGTCCTTTTGCTCCCACAAGCGATCTAAATCCACCGCGACTTCCTTATTTACTGCCAAATTGCTTTAACTGTGAGTCTTTTGGATTCTTCTAGATTTTAAGCTTACAATAAATCTTTATTTGAACTGCTTGGGTCTCCCGATTTCCCTGGCATTCGACAATTATGACCGTTCATTCAACGACCCCAAATTCCCATTGGTCCCGTTAGTCAAGGATTATCTGTAAAATTTCCCTATTTATGTATCTGGTCACTAAGAATAAAAGAATACAGAGTTGGAAGGGACCTTGGAGGTCTTCTAGTCCAACCCCCTGCTCAGACAGGAAACCCTATACTATTTCAGACAAATGGCTGTCCAATCTCCTCTTAAAAATCTCTAGAGGCAAGTCGTTCCACTGATTAATTGTTCTCATTGTCAGGAAGGAAATTTCTCCTAAGTTCTAAGTTCTGTTCTGTACTCCTTAATCTGTTGTTCTGTTCTGTTCTACTCTACTCTACATTCTATCCTATCCTATCCTATCCTATCCTATCCTATCCTATCCTATCCTATCCTATCCTATCCTATTTCTTATTCCTATTCCTATTCTCCTCTACTCTGAATTACATTCCTTGTTCTGTTCTGTTTTATTCTATTCTATTCTTCATTGGTTCCTGTCCAGCCTTCAAGTGCTTTGGAAGAGTCAACACCAACCTGACAGCACGGAATAAATCGATCCAAAGCTTTCCAAAGTTTTACGAGCCGACTGTAGTCGGCAATGGAAATCTACTTTCCTCCTCACTTCTCTCTCCAGCGATCCCAGCATCCCCCCAAGGTCCCAGAAAGCCCCCTTACCCTCTCGTTGTCCACACAGTCACAATCAGCTGCAGAGCCTTGGCCTGGAGCCTCATATGATGGATGATGACCACCTGCCGATGCTCCACGTGGCTGTACATGAACTCCATCTTGTACGTTTCTTCCATAATCTGGACGAGAAGGGGCCGCGTTTTAAAAGTCTGACTCCCGGAGGGGGGGCGGGGCTACAGGAAGGTGGCTTCACCTGGAAAATGGTGTGTTGGCTAGCTCAAACCCACAATGGCTCTGAAGCCACCACCCAGTGCGACGCAATCAAAGCAATAATCAGGAATCTCTTATTAAGGTCTGCTGTAAAGTGAGAAGGGTGGTGCAATAATTAGATACGGTAGATAGACAGGCAGACGGATGGACAGACAGATGTAGGTAGAGACAGATATAGATTTGAGATGGGGAGAGAGAGAGAGAGAGAGAATACATGGATAGATGTAGAGATAGAGATGCTTGATTGATAGATGATAGATAAATGGTAGATACCAGTAGATAGATATAGATAGATGTAGAGATATATAGACAGATGAGAGAGAGAGAGAGAGAGAATAGACAGATAGATGTAGAGATATAGATGATAGATTAGCATTTGCACTAAGACAAATTCCTTGTGTGTCCAATCACACTTGGCTAGTAAAAGAATTCTATTCTATAGGTAGATGATAGATAAATAGATAAGGTCTAGATACCGATAGATAGATAGATAGATAGATAGATAGACAGACAGACATATGTAGAGAGGGATAAATATATGAGAGAGAGAGAGAGACAGGGAGAGAGAGAATAAAGGGATAGATAAATGATAGATAAATAGATATATTGGTAGCGATAGATAGATATAGATATAGATAATGTGTGTGTGTGTGAGAGAGAGAGAGACGGACACACAGAGGGAGAGAGAGAGGGAGAACAGAGGGATAGATATAGAGATATAGATGATAGATAGATGATAAATAGATAAGCGGTAGATACCGGTAGCTACTGCTAGATAGATAAATAGATAGATGTAGAGATATAGAGATAGAAGAGAGAGAGACAGAGAGAGAATAGACGGATAAATGATAAATAGATAGATATATTGGCAGATAGAGATAAATAGATAGATGTAGAGATAATGTGTGTGTGTGAGAGAGAGAGAGAGAGAGACAGACAGACAGAGACAGAGGGACAGACTGCAGTTCGACCTGGAGCTACAAATATTCTCTTTTGTTCTTGGTTTCCTACCACCCCTGAGCCAATGATACCCAACCCAGTTCCCTGCTCCCACCCAGAGGTGTGGTTCTCACCCCCTCACAAGATAACAACATCCTGCGCGACTGTGAAGAGAAGCAAAGTCCGCCCCCGTTTGTTGGTCTGCCGATTACTATCCCTAGAATGAGCCCCAAGTGATTTGTTTCTGGCTAGCGGTTTTAACACAAAGTAAATCAATAAATAACCCAACCCAGCCCAACCCACCTTCCCGCCATACCTGCCGAGCTGCAGCTAAGGCCAATGCATTCTGTTTCACGTACAGGGGAGCTGCGACGTTCCAGAGTTTCTCCTGCAGGGCCTGAAAATAAAACGAGACCCAGAGTTTTTTTTTTCCCAACGCGTGGGGTACATTGTCCCCCCTGGAACCACCTGTGCGATGGAAAGGCCCGGATCTCACAGGTGAGGCCAAAGGGACCTTGGACTGCATGTCGGAGGGTTGATTCTTGGGTTTGTCAATGGAGATTCTCCGTCATCCGGGTCATGATTATCCCAAAATATTTTTTTTTCAAGAGGCAACCGTACTTTCTGGTTTTTTTTTTCTTTGAAAATGTGTCTGTGATGACCCAAAGGGGCGTGGCACAAAGGCAACACAGTCAGATAATCCGTAGGAGTCCCTTAATTTGCTCCAACTTTGCCCCCAGTGTCCAGGTTACCTTCTGGGCTGAGAAAAACTTCCAGAACAGCCTTTGGCTGCAGAGAATCAAGTCCAAAATATGGTCAACAAAAACGGTAATTACAACAATTAAGGCAAGATGAGGTAATCAAGCCACCACCCAGTGCGACGCAATCAAAGCAATAATCAGGAATCTCTTATTAAGGTCTGCTGTAAAGTGAGAAGGGTGGTGCAATAATTAGATACGGTAGATAGACAGGCAGACGGATGGACAGACAGATGTAGGTAGAGACAGATATAGATTTGAGATGGGGAGAGAGAGAGAGAGAGAGAAGGCCAGGAGAAGGAATTCCAGACCTGAAGGCATAGCAGTAACTCAACACAGTTGGGAGGATGCCAGGAACGCAGATTCCAAAGTCAACACAAGATAAATTACGTTTGCTCCCAGCAGACACCGCACTCAACTTGCATCTCTTTTAAACTCTCATTCCCCAGCTGTGGCTAATGAAAGGAATCAGGGCCTTTTCCTCCCCCGTAAGCCATGCAATTCAAGTTGCTCCCTTCTCCATTCCTCCCTGTGTGCCCTAGGATGAAGAGGGGGTGGGCCTGGGTCTTCCTCTGAACCCCCTCTCCCTTGTTCTACCTCTCCCCTACTCTGCCCAGCTGAACTCTGCCCTTCCCCAGTTTCCTCCACAGCCAACAGAGCCACGCTCCCGCTCCCTGTCAGCTGTTCGTCTTCCTCCTCCCGACAGGGGCATTGACAGTTTCATCTCTCATAAGAGAAGCTTCTTCAGCTCTGACTGGATGGTAGGGAAAGGAAGGACTGATACTCCTTGCAGACAGCTGGATATTTGCATTCCCTCTGAAAGTCGTTGAGGCCACTTGGAGGCTTCATAGGACAACGCAGAAGAACAAAGCCGTCCGGATAAGATTCAGCAGTCTGTATCTTCATTTAAAAGAAAAAGGTCAATCTTTTGAAGACAGCATTTTGGACAAAGAGACCGCTGGTTTGAAAGAGGGGTCAAAGAGGCCATCTAGGTCAAACCTGAACAGCCCCCTCCTCAACAGAGTGGGAGGGATACGACCTCATTTATCTCCAGTCTACATTACAGTCCTTTCAGCAGTTCTAAGAAGGCTCCGCACCCATTTGCACTACTCAACTGACCCCTGTAGACACAGACAAATCTCCAAGTGGCCTCAACGACTCAACTAAAAAGGATGCAAATGACCAGCTGTTCTGAAAGGAGTATCAGTCCTTCTCTCCTTCACCCTCCAGTGAGAGCTGAAGAAGCTTCTTGGACGAGAAGTGAAACATCTTCAACGATATATCCAGAAAGTCCTGTTGCCTCTTGAAAAGAGTATCTTTGGGGCAACCAAGGCCTGGATGACAGAGACTCTCCATAGATGGACTGAAACAGAATGGCTGGTTCCATGTCATTTCCTAACTTATTAGACCAAGAGTAAAGAAACACACAGCTGTTATAAATGCCGTACCTTAATGAGAAGGAGCTGGCAGCGTAGGTAAGCGGCAGAGAAGTCAGCCAGGCCTGCTAAGTCAGACTGCAGTTCTGCAAACCTCTGGAGGTCCCTGGGCCAAAGAAAAGGTATAATCATCTAAGAGTCCCTGCAGGTTTGCCACGCTAGAGGTAAAAATTTGAAATCGATCTGAATATTAGCAGCTCGGGTTGGTTAGTTGGTTAGTTGGGCTGTTGGTTTGAGCCTCCCGAGTGGTTGCAAACTTTTCATCACCGTTAGAGGAGACATTGTCAGCGCGCTCTGAATTGTGTCTGTGAGAACACTGGCCTTACACACCTTTTCCCGTGATGCAAATTAGCATTAGTGCTATTTTCCCCTGTCCAGCTGAGCAATGCTCACAACTCTGTTTCTTGGCTGAGGGAGCCAACGTTGTCCGAAGACGATTTCTGTGCCCAGCATGATCAAAGGAGCATGGAACGCTGTTTACCTTCCCACCGAAGTGGTGCCTATTTATCTACTCGCGTTTGCAGGCTTGTAAACTGCTTGCAAACGAGGGCAGGAGCTGGAGCAAGGAATGGGAACTCACCCCGTCCTGCAGCACTTGGGTCTCAAACTTGGGCTGTCCGTTTCCAGTGACAAGCTCGGTGTCTTTAACCGCTGAGCCATTGTGCCCCCTTTACTCTACTAGTCATAGTCGACTTTAAGGCGGGGTACTCCTCTCTTTTTCTAGGCCACTGCGCCAGCACTAGGTGAAGACATTTCCAGCGTGACACCACATCGCAGCATCGAGCATGCAGTGAAACGCAGCACGTTGTTACCTTCCCACCGAAGTGGTACCTATTGATCTACTCGCATTTGCAGGCTTTCGAACGGCTAGGTGGGCAGAAGCTAGAGCAAGGGACGGGAGCTTCCTCCATTAAGCAGTGGTAGGACTCAAACTGCCACAGCATAGATCTTCTCTGGCATCTTTTAAGCCGGGGTCACCGAATTTTGGACCTCAGGGACCACCAAACTTATAATTTTAAAGCCCACGGTCCACTAATATGAATTTTGACTGACGGTGGCTGCAGGAAAAAGGTCTGCAGGAAAATTCCCCACCCCGCTTTCCTACTGATCGATCATTCTTTATTTGGGATCGCAGGATACTGTCTCCAGCTCCGTTCTTTGGGGCGGGGGGGGGGGGAAGAGAGAGAGAGACTTTTTGCTTCATGCAAGGAAAGCAGCAGAAGTCTTTCTTTCCCTCCCCCAAACTCTACCAGAAATCTTTGCCGGTGCAGCCTCTTGGAGCAGGAGGCCTTGCAGGGCCCCAAAGACTCATTTCTGGCGGAGTTTGGGGGAGAGAAAGAAAGACTTTGGCTGCTTTCCTTGTGTGCAGACAAAAGCAGAAGAAGAAAGAAGCAGAAAGAAGCAGCCCGGTGGCCAGGCCAGGCGCGTGGGGCGCGTTCCCCCCTTCCCCCCCCCTAACTATCTCATGTTGTTCACAATGCAAGCGACACAAGCCTTGTGTTCCCGTGGGCCATGTGGGAGGCGCAGCCTTGTGTTCCCACACAGCCTAGATTGTTTGGGGGGATGCTTTAGGGGTGACATTTCTCTGCGGATCACCAAAATTCTCTCACGGACTACCAGGGATCCCGGGCCCACTGATTGGCGACCACACTGTCTTAAGCCACTGAGCCACTGTATCTCCCAAGGGCGCAGAAAATAGCAGGACAATTCTGCTCTGTTTAGCAAGAGACAATCGGCATTTTGGCTTCTTTAGCCTCTCAAAGACAGGCTGAACTGTTCCCAAGTTTATCCCAAGGATAATCTGGAAGATGGATTTCCGTCGCTACTTTGGACACCAACCAACACCGCTGAATATGGGCAGCCCATTTTAAGGGTTTGAGGAATAAGAAACAGAAAACGATGCAGAGAATTCTGTGGAGGCCGCCAAATTGGGCGGCACCTCTCGTTTTCTAAAGCCAGTACCGAATGGTGAATTCTAGCAGCTCCTGGGTGCCCTGTGGATCCAGGTGCTGAAGATTGAAAACTCTTTCGAGGCTCTGCTGTAGAAATTCCTGAGAAGGATCTTCTTGAAGGATGAGGCTGGCAGGCCCAGAAGAAGCGGCCATCTTCTTTCCAGGCAGCTATGTGAAAAGCAAAAAAAAAAGAGAGAGAGAGAAAAGAAAATCAAATGCTATTAAGTTGAGGACTTATGAAACTTGTATTTGTAATAACTTGTGGTTTTATATTATTTATATTAAATAATCTAGTCCCCTGTTCTGACCCAAACCTGTTTCCAAGAGAACAAACACAGGACAAAGGCAGCAGCACAACCTTTTAACGTTTCATTCACGAATTCTGTTTCTTCACAGATAAAAAGGCTGCTTCCAATTAATTAGCTCCGACAAGAAAGAGCCTTGCCAGGTTTTTGCAAGACTGCCAAACAACAACAGATAAGAAATAGAAGAGTCTTCAAATACCAACTGTAATGTCCACAAGGCTGAGTTTCAAAATGTCTTTGCTTCCTGCAAAGAACGTCTGATTCACAGCTACCTTTTATCTTCTTGAAGGAGGGGCCATTATCTTGCAGCCTTACTCCCGAGTCGCCTGTGCTGTTACAGCTACTCTTTCCTACGAGCAGCCCTGCGCGCACATGCACTTGGCACAGGCTCCTCAGGAACCTCCTCATCGCTGCTGCCAGCCCCCACAATCTCTGAAGGCAGCAGTCCACTCCCTTAATGGTCCTGGCCCCTCATCTGAGTCCTCGCTCTCCTCAGCCGTCCACACCTGCTGCCGGCTAACCACAACAGCACCAGAGCTCACTATAATAACATTGCCAAAAAGGCTTTAAGAATTGTTAACCTTATTTTGCCAAGCTTCTTCTCCGGCAACATTGAATTGTTAACTAGGGCATACAAAACCTTTGCCAGACCAATTCTCGAATACAGCTCGTCTGCCTGGAACCTGCGCTGTATATCACACATTAACACAATTGAACGGGTTCAGAGGTATTTCTCGAGAAGAATTCTTCACTCCTCCACTCACAATAGAATTCCCTTACACCTCCAGGATCGAAATTTTGGGACAGGACAACCTAGAACCGCGCCACCTGCGGTCCAATCTAAGCATAGTACACAAAATTGTCTGCTATAACATCTTGCCTGTCAACGACTTCTTCAGCCTCAACCACAATAACACATAGGCAAACAACCGGTACATATATAATATGTAAATACAAGTTAGGCAGAAACGATCTCGTAGATGACCCTCACTCTGTCAAGGACTTAGGAGCACTTATCTCAGACGATCTAAGCCCCAGAGTTCACTGTAACAGCATTGTCAAAAAGGCTTTGTGAGTTGTTAACCTAATTTGGCAAAGCTTCTTCTCCGGCAACATTGAATTGTTAACTAGGGCTTACAAAACCTTTGCCAGACCAATTCTCGAATACAGCTCATCCGCCTGGAACTTGCACTGTATATCAGACATTAACACAATTGAGCAGGTTCAGAGGTATTTCTTGAGAAAACTACTTCACGCCTCTACTCACAATAGAATTCCCTACGCCTCCTGGCTCGAAATTCTGGGCCTCGACAATCTAGAACTGTGCCGCTTACGGTCCGATCTAAGCATAGTTCACAAAATTGTCTGCTATAACATCCTGCCAGTCAACGACTTCTTCAGCTTCAACCACAATAATACACGGGCAAACAACCAACACAAACTCAAGGTAAACCGCTCCAAACTCGATGGCAGAAAATACGACTTCAGCAACAGAGTGGTCAACGTCTGGAACGCTCTGCCCAACTCCGTTGTCCCAGACTCGAACCCTCGCAGCTTCAACCTCAAACTGTCTCCCGTGGACCTCACCCCATTCCTAAGAGGGCCTTAAAGGAGGCGTGCATAAGCGCACTCGCGGGCCCTGTCTTACTGTCCCCATTTATCTGTATTTACTCCCTTGGTTCTTCTTCATGTTCATACCTACACTTGTTATCTTGTACATGTTTGACAAACGAATACATTTGTAAATGTTGTTTTTGTAAAATTTGTAGTTGTGTAGTTGTAAAAAGCACCGTCCTTGGATGCCAAGGGTTCGTCCCAACGACTTACCCTCAAAGGCGGCACAAGGTGTGAGAGACTATCCCGAAGGTAAGCGTAGTGCCGGAAGGTGTGGTCAGAGAAGAGCGCCGGCATCGTTGGGCAGGATTTAGCCGCGTTGAAAATAAGAACCAAGACTGCGATATCTGTGCCTCAGGTTAAGGGAGGGAAAAGACTTCAGGTCCTTGATTGTAAAGCAGTTAAAACAGATGTATTTTAAGGGCCAGAGGGAGGAAAAAAATGAGCAGGAACAAAGCCAGTGATTTTAGGATAGCACAGAATCAGAAATACAAGGAATAGATGCGCCCTGGTGGCAGAGCGGTTAGAATGCAGAATGGCAGGCTGACTCTCTGCCCACTGCCGGGAGTTCGATCCTGACTGGCTAAAGGTTGACTTGTCAGGTTTCCAAGGGATGAAATCCATTTAAAAAGAAAAGAGCAAAGTCCATTTTCCCAAATCAATTAATTGTATTTTGGAAAGCATCAAATTGGCAAAATCTGTTGTAGTTCTGGATCTGACACAGCCCGGAATTACACCACCTAATATTGGAAGTTAGAAACAGCCCCTAAAAGTCACATTCCCCAATAGAAGCAAACCAACTTTTGCCTGGTGTCATCAATCTCCACCTCCAGGTCTCGGCAGGGTCAGCTTTCGTTCCCACGGGAAGAAGAACCACCTAGCCTAAACAACTCTATATCCATTCCTCCCACCTTAGGAATGTGGCAAGTCTGAATCCCTTCCCCCCATAACCAGCAAAGAGAAAGAAAGAAAAGGAATATATAAGAAGGCAAAATAAAATGGCTATGCATATGTCAATTTTGGGCCTGACATGACTCAGCCTTCCTGGCCCAAAGTCACCCCCGCCAGTTTTCATGCCTAAGGCAGTACCAGAATTCAGGGTCTCCTGGCGATTGGCCCGAAATCACCCAACCAGCTTTCCAGATTAAAGAAGCAAGCAACCGAATAGATGTTAGAATGCAGCTGCAATTTTACTGATGGTTTCTTTACACGATACCCCAGGAAACCACAAACTGGCCCAAAAAGGGGGATTCACATACCCATTGCAACTCAAAATTACTTTTCTGTCCTAACCAGCTGCTTGGAAATCACAAGTAGTTTTGTGCAGGTAAATCTGAATTCCCCTGAAGCATTAACCGCAGGACAGGTGTGTGGAGAGGAAAGGATACAAGCTGGATCATCCATGTCTGGTTCGGGGGTGTCGAAGAAAGGGTGGGTCCCCAACAATTCAGGGACAAGTGGGAGCACCAGGGTGGGGTGCCTTCCTCCCAGAAATTTTAAGCACCTGAAAAAAAAAACATAAGATTCAAAGCAGAGAAAGTTCCCTTTTAATGTAACCAAACAGCAAACTCTCTTAGGATTTCAAACTTTAATCTTTTTTTTTTTAAAGGCTACAGTAATTATTTATCAACAGTTAGAACACAGGTAGCCCTAAATGGCACCTCTAAAAACACCATAGAAATGTTTTATGAGTTGATGAGCTATAATTGATGACACTTGGCCTGTGGTGGCTAACCTTTTGGGGCTCCTGTGCCACACATAAGGCAATGCACGTGCCCCCCCATGACCCCCGCGCATGTGCACACAATTCCCCCGCCCCCTTACCTGCATTGTGCCTCACAGCTGATTTTTGGCCCGTTTGAGGCCTTTTTCGGCCTGCCAGAGGCTTGAGGAAAGCCTCTGCAGTCTTTGCAGGCCAAAAAAATGGGCCGATTTCGTCACTTCCGGTATTTCTGGAAATATAGGAAGTGACAAAACGGGCCTATTTTTCGGCCTGCAAAGCCTGCAGAGGCTTCCCTCAAGCCTCTGGCAGGCTGAAAAAGGCCCCAAAATCAGCTGGGAGGTGCGCGCATGTGCCGTGAGGTAACTTTGCTTGGGGCTCACGTGCCGGCACAAATTACTCTGCGTGCCACCTGTTAGGTATAACATAGGTCACCTAACGTAATTTGGGTAAAATAATATATATAAGCTATGATTGTTAGTTTAAGTGTGTGTCACTTTAAAACTGCAAAGCATGTATGTTGGGTGTGGTGTGAAACCACCATAAGAGGGAGCAAGAGACACTGACGGTTTGCTGGCAATTACTGGATTGGATTACATTGTATGGTTTGTTAGCTGCGTATTTCCCTACTGAAGAATTGCTCAAGGAAGAGAGGAGTTTTTGAGTTCTGCATATCTCTCTACTGCGAGGAGATATATCACCGGACTGATATTTGTAAGTGTACTGACCTCTCTTTTTCGACACTGGAATTTGCAAATGAATAATCCCTGGACGGACTGAACTAAGTGAATGATATATGGACTGTTTTGACTATGCTTTAACTCTTGCTGGAATAAAACTATTTAATAGGCACTGTGTATCTGGTTTACTGAGTGTAAGCTACAAAAACACTTATCTCATATATTTTGCCTGCCTGCCTGACTGCCCTGCAGATCTTGCTAGGGTATATCCCTAACACTACCTGTGGCACGCGTGCCATAAGGTTCGCCATCATGGCTCTTGGCTATGGATGTGCCTTATTGGAGAATATGAATTACGATACACTCAGGGGGTGGAGGGGAAAAACCAGGGTCACGGGTGACAATGAATGATGTGTCTCAGAGTCGGCTACACCCACTGCAGTGATTCCCTTACGCCTCTGGAAAGGCAGTTCAGAAAGGGGGCAAAACTCGCGCGGACAATTGTCTTGCTTCCCAAGGGAAAACGTCGGTCTCCCTTGCGGCTGTGAAGTCAAAGGACTCCCTGTATTCTGGGTTGTTTTTTCTTTTCGGCGACAAAGAAAGACTTACTTCCAGATAGAGTCCCTGTCCGTCGGATACTTGGCGAGGTTTTTCAGCAGCTCCGCCAAGGCAAGATGGATGCCTTCCCTGGTCGAGACGTTGGTGCAGCACAGCAGCTCGTGCAGAGCTTCCCTGATATCTCGGGAGGAATCCTAAAGCAACAGACGGAAAGGCTTGAATGGCGAAGTGGTAGAAAGCCTCTGCGTTTTAAAACCAAGCATCCACTAAGTGTTCTGACCAAGATCTCAAAAGCCGACTCCTCGTCCGGGTAAAACCCCTTTTATTTAATTTAAAGTGAATTCCTCTCTAGTAAAGTCCTGGCCAACAGTCTTTCAAGAGATTGCACAACTACAGACCTTTATCAGGCTTGGAGAGTTGCTAGGCCAATATCCTCCAAATGCCACGCTGGAGCAGCAATTACTTGGCAAGAAGTCAGGAACAAATCTTCACACTAATTAGACGAACTAATTGTCTCCTACAAACACCACTCCCCTTTTGCTCCTCGTTATTCCCTCTGGGAGGGGCCATTCTCCGTCCACCTGTGTCTTTACTCCCGAGTCGACCCTTGTTCCTTAGCTGTTCCCTTCTTCTGGCAGCTCTGTGCATGTGCACACTGGGAACAGGCTCCAGCTGTTCTTCTGCCTCACTGATCTCCGACTCAGAGGGCAGCTGATAACCGTCCGACGGCCCTGTCCCCAACTCTGTCCCCAACACAGAGCCCTCATCAGAGGCCTTTTCCAGACTCCAGAACTGGACTGTGTTCCTCCCCAACCTCCTCATTGTCTGAGTCTGCCGCTAGCTCTTACTGGCTGGCCACACCACCACAGTAAAGGAAGAAGTGGTCAAGAGATATGACACAGATTAGCACGTAGTACAGCAGATGTGAACATCTTGGACTACAAAGACCATAATATTTTTTTTTCCCCAATGCAGGTGAAAATGTGACTTTGAAGAAAGGGCTCCGGTGTTGGAGAAGGCTCTTGGACTAGAGATAGTCAAGAAAAATGGACGGCTGGTCCAACAAATTAACCCAGATGTCTCACTTGGGGTACAAATGACCAGGCTCAAAATGTACCTTACTTTGGAGACGTTATGCAAAGACCTTTTTCTATGGAGGAAGAGAATGCTAGGAAAAGGGAGGAGGAGAAAGAGAGGGAGAGAGAACGGGAAGGGAAAGAGAGGAGAGGAGGAGGGGCGGGGAGGAGAAGGGAGGGGAAAGAGAGGAGGGGAAGGGAGGAGAGGGAAGGAGAGGAAGGGGGAAATTAGAGAGGATGGGAGGGCAAGGGAGGGGGGAGGAGAGGGGAAAGGGAAGGGGAAAGAGGGAGGGAAAAGAGGGGAGAGGAGAGGAGAGGGCAGGGGAAGGGCTGGGAAGGAGAGAGCGGGGAAAGGAGGAGAAAGTAAAAGAGAAAGGGAGAGAAACCAGGAAAAAGATGGACTCAGTTACAATGGTGATGCAGGGACCACTGAAAGATCTAAAAGACTAGATTAGGGACAGATTATCACGGTGAAAATCTGTGTGGTTGCTAAGAGTTGGTGACTTGATGGCACGTAATCAATCAAACCATCTGTCAGCTTTGGAATCCTTATTAAAAAGCTGCCACAAAGCCGCAGAGAATGGAAGAGGGCTGCTATTGTTTGAGCAGCTTTCAGTAGACAAAAAAGATATATAAAACCTTCAAGGTCACTCTCTAGGGTGCAGCAAGAACTGTAGCCGAAGGGCGATTGGTTCACGGGATTTACGATGTGAAAGAAAAGGGGTGGGTGTGGATTGAGTCTTGTGGGAAGTCTGTGTTAGGAATATAAGTCACCTAAACAGGTATTTGGGTTAGAAATATATAAACCAGGATAAACATTTTAGTACTATGTCTTTAAGGGAATGCAAGAGCATGCAATTGGGTGTGGTTTCTCAAACAGCCATAAGATGGAGCCAGAAACCTGGATTGTCTTAGTCTTAGTCTCAGAAGAGAGTGTAAGTGTATCTCTGTTTCCTTCTGTTGGAAAGTATTGCCGTTGCTCCATTTCTTCTAATTGATGGATATTACTGGATTTAATGTAAGGCTGATACTGAACGGTTTTTTGACACTGGGCTTTGGTATTTGGATTATCCCTGGATTGAAAAACTGACTGATTTACCTGTGAATGACTTTGGACTGTGTTTGGACTTTGCTTAAACCTTTCTGGAAGTAAAAACCTGCATTTACTGTACAGTGTATCTGTGTTCTGTGTGTGTATTATTCAAACACTTCTCTCAAATACGTCTCCCTGTATGCGCTCATTCTCCTAACAGGGAATTACCTCAACAGTCTGGGAGGAAACTTTAGTTTCGGAATTCCACAGACGTGCCAAGTTTCTGTTTTAATAAAGCGCTTTGAGATTATGGTCGTCTCGGAGTTACTGATTGGAACGGATAATTTCTGGAACCCTGACACAATCGAATCCATCCAGATGTTCAGTTTATACTGCCAAGCTTCTACTGGTCATGCTGGAAGTGGGCAGAAGGGAAGGATAGTCCCAACACATCCAGGGAACCTTGACCTCTGACCTTAGAAGATCAGGGGTCCTCAACTTTTTGGGCACAAAGGGACCAGTTCCACGCAGAGAGGTTTTTTTCCACGGACCAGCAGGGATGTGGTTTCGTGTGCTGCTTGCATCCTGCAGATGGGACTTCTCTTCTCTTGAGCGGCCCCGTGTCTGGCATGCCGCGGCCCAGTGACGGTCCATGGCCCAGGGGTTGTGGACCCCTCTTATAAGTAACTTGCTCCAAAGATCCAGCAGAATACACCTAGCGGTTAGAATGCTAAGCCAGAACTCAAAAAGAAGCAGAATTCAACTCTTTGATCCTGGTTCACGGAGTCCCGATCCCAACCCAATGAAAAGGAGGAAATTTATCCTTTTCACGGTCATAGCAATCTTCTCTCCCATAATCCCTTGCGGGGTGGAGCCTGGGCAACTGAATGGAGCTATCGGAGCGTTTACTGGCCAGATGCCCTTCCTGTCACCAACGCGGAGTTGTGTTCAGCAGCTATATTCCCGTCCTGTTCAGACACAGAGAATTATCTGCCTCTATCTAGGCCCGATCGTGGGGTGAGAGCGCCACCTGTAGACCACCGCACCACTCTTTCAGGATTATACCAACGTTCCCGGTGGAATCGAAAGGATAGCAAGCCAATCCCAAAAAATTGAAGGAAAAAGGGGGGGGAGAGGGGGGGAAGATCCTTGCCTCCAAGACACCCAGCACCGTGTCCAGCTGATCCTCTCGCAGCGCGATGTTGTTGGAAATCTTCCTCATGGTGTGGATGGACCGCAGCCTCACTTCCTCGATCTCGTCGTTGAACATGTCGACCAGGAAATCAAGGCACTTCTCGGCAAAAGAGGGCGAGGACTGCGCCAGCATGCAGAGGGCCTCCACGGCGGCAATCCGAACCTCTGAAAAAACAGATCAAGGCTGTGAGAGAAGGAGGGGAAAAAGGGAAACGCCAGAATCCTCTCTTTCGAGAGATGGTACAGCTGAGCTGCCCCACTCTTGTATTTTCAAGTTTCTTAGCGTCTAAGTCAGCTGATGGATTTGGAAAAGCAAGCTCCGTTTTCCGAAACAGCTTCTCCCCTTCTCGGAATTAGCAGCATAAACCACCATTTATTTCAAGGCCACTCAGAGTTACGACACCACTGGGGGAAAAAGGTGATTTGTGACCGTTTTTTCACAACTATGACCTTCGCAGCATTTCCCAAAGACGCGTGATCAAAATTGAGACAGTTGGCAACTGACTCATATTTACAGTGCATTCAGAAAGTATTCAGACCCCACTTCACTTTTGTCAGTGTATGTATGTATGTATGGCATTTGGCTTTGTTCGGGTATTTTCCCACATCATTGTAGTTGTGCTTTTAAAGTTGTAGCGACGTTTCGGCAACGTTTAAAAGCACAACTACAATGACGTGGGAAAATACCCGAGCAAAGCTGAATACCATACATGTAAATACCCGTGAAAACTTAAGAAAACACACACACACACACACACACACATACACATACACATGTACGTATACATATACATATATATATATATATATATATATATATATATATATATATACATACATACATACATACATACATACATACACACATACATATATACATATATACATACAAAAGTGAAATACCCCTCACGCATCATCACAAAATCTCCAGAACCGTAAAGCCTACAAACTTGAAATTTGGCATGTAGGTTCCTCTCGGCTTCTAGGGGCTAGAAAGGATTTTTCGAAATGACCATCAGAACATTTAGAGTATTTCCTATATTATTATTATTATTATTATTATTATTATTATTATTATTATTATTA